AACATACATTGTGTGCAGCTGGCTATTAAAGATTTGCTGTACATTTGAAGTACTGGACACTAGATGGAGTAGCATAAACACAGTGCTAGTCTAGCCTACCAAATGTCAAAAGTTGTGATCTCTGCCCAAAGAGCCCACAAAAGGGAGTGTAAATTGATTGCAGAGCTTAGATTAGAGCTCAGGACTAGTAAAACAGACTCTTGTAATTTCTGCTTCCTTAAGCCACCTGTTAGTGATTCTTCTGGAGAGTTTATCTGTGATTAATGCTATTGGGGGATGGGTCACTGATTACCTTAGTCCCTAAGGATTGTCAAAGACAAATGGAAAGGCCATTAACATGAGCACAGAGCAATCCAGCTCTCGGATCTCTGAGGGCCTGTGTGTAACTCACTGTAGCTCAGTCTCTAAGTCCATGTAGTCAGCAGACCCCGACAGCCAGTCACATGGGAGCTCATTTTCAGCAGCTTAGTCTCTCTTCGAGATGAAAAGTGTGCACAACATGAAGCACCTGTCCTCCGAAATTTCCAGCGATCAGAAAATAAGAAAACAGGAAAGTCAAGGCTTCATTTTTTAGCCAAAGACTCGATCCTCAAAGCCTCACTACTCATTGGGAAGGACCGAAGAATCCATCATGGGCTATGATGAGATAAAGGGGTATATATCATTCATCTGTAGCCTTGTCTCTAATGGAATTGTCACCGACTTTTACCACAAAACATATTTTAGGAGTGTCAGGAAAAAAAAAAAACAGACAAAAAAAGCCAGAGGACAGTGAATGGGGGATAATGAGGGTGATTAAAACTCGGTTGAAAGAGGAGAGACACAGTCAAAGGAAGTCCAAATATTTAGTGTGGAAAGGAACAAGAACAGACGAAGGGGAACCATGATCACTTTCTATCAATCTCTGTAGGTCTTTAAATCTCAAACAAACAAGAAGCAGACTTTGTCGTATGCGTCCAGAGGGCAGCGCTGAGACCAGTGTTTATGTGTGTGCTACGGTTGAGCAGCTACAGCCGGGGAACCTACTCTGGTCTCTGGTTACTGCTCAGAGGAGAATAGTCACAGTTTTTGAGGAGGGTCTCTTGGAAGTCAGCCTAGGGAATACAGTTTGTTATGAGCCACATATTCATTATGAACACAGTGATTACTTATTGACATCTTTATTCTTTCAGATCAAAAGCTAGTAGAAATGACATAGGGACAGATCGATGAGTTCCCCACCTATGGGAGTCCCACTGAGTGCTAAGGGCATGTGTGTTTGTGTAAATACAGGAGCTTTCTAATACTTTCAATGCCACAGTAAATTTGCAAAAGGAAAAGATAATTCTATTTTCCTTCGGTTTCAGAGGATAACGTGGGAAGGAAATTGGGGCTCCAAAGCCAATAAAGAGCCAAAGAGCCCCGGAAGACACTCGTTTAAAAAAAGGATAAAAATCCCTCTTATCTACGCATTAATTTATGTTTCACATTTGTCTCTACTGAGAAGGCTGTAAACGGGGGCTGGACTCTAAAGTGTCGTGTAGCCCCTTACTAGTTTTTGTCTAATCAACTCGTCTTTTCATTTAAGTGAAATAGCAAACTCTCCCCCTATTCCTTCACACAGAGGTGCCATAGTGGTGGGTGGGACTTCTGGGTGAGTTCCGTCCACTTGGCCTTATGGGCGGCTCATGTTATCTCAACCTGCGGAATAGTATTCAGCAGTAGGAGCAGCAGCTAACGTATACTGAACCCAGGGTCTGGTCTAAATAGCATGTCTTTAAATCTTCAGAGTGATTCTGAGGTAGATGCTGTCATTATCCCAGTTTCCCAGATGAAGAAACGGGGACAGAGAAGTTAAGAGACAAAAGGCACAGAAAGAGTAACGGCAGAACCCAAACTCAAACCCAGATAGTCGTGCTTTTCGCCACCGTGCCATACTTCTGCGGGACACTTCTCTGAGTGTTGTCACATACCCTGCTCTAAGACACCTGGATTTCCAAGTCCAAAATGGGATTGAGCCATCGGGGCTTGTGGTCCCTGTGTGGAACACTGGAGCAATGTCAAATAGCCCTGTGTCTGCCTGGCCTTACTTAGAGTGGAGGGCCAGAGATGGAAAGGTGGCAACGGATTCAGAGCCCTGCCCCGTGTGCTGGCACTACAAGTAAGGATCCTGTCTCCACACCCGCTGCCTGGGGGATTTCTGGCTCCTCTGGTGAAAAAAGCATTGCCTCTTAGCTTTTTCTCTTACCCTTTTTCTCTCTTACTTTCTTTCTCTCTCACTCTTGGCTCTTGCTCGCTAGCTCCCTAATTAGTTTTATTTCCTCTTCTCGCTCTCTTTTCCATGGTTCTCTTGTCTTCTTCCTGTTCATTCTTTCTTTCCTTTTTTTCCTTCCAGTCCTCTTCTAATTGCCTCTCTCCTCTTCCTTTCTTACCCCTTTTTCCATCTTTACTCGCCCTCCCCTTAATTTTATACCACTTCCTCTAATTCTCTTATCTGCCAGATTCTTTCTAGACGGGACAGAAATGGTGGGAGAAGGGGTTTGGTGTCCAGTGTACTACGCCAAACTTCCCAACTCTCTTTCCCCACCATAAAGCCAGGGAAAATTCTGAAGCTTGGCTCAGCCCTAATTTTGGGAAGCAGCCTCTCCCCACGCTGTTTCTTTCTTAACAATTAATGGGTGCTCTTTAAATGAAAGTGAACAGTGCA